GACTAATTCTACAGAAGTTGGTATAGAGACGAATGAAAACAGATTCCAATACAGGAGTAACGCTCGGGTTGGGTTTAGAATCAAGTCTCCTCAATTTGAAGAGTCTGTCACTGTGGGGGAGGGAGTCAAGGGGCTTATCTCAAGCGCCCTCATGCAATTTTAGCTGCCGGATCTGCGTCGAAATATTTAAAATCATTTTCTAAAAATATTCATAAATCACTAATTAGTACCAGAAACGGAACTTAAATCTCTCTAAATTCTTACTTTTTTAAGTTGACAATGATAGAAATAGGTACTCGACTTCGCGACTCGCGTCATAAGCGTCATTCCGTTGCTTCCGAGTTAAAGTGAATGTGCCCCTTATGGTTATAATCTGCCTCCTGTTTTTCGACGGCTTGGCTATCCCTTTGGACACCGATTGCTTGCTATTTTACGACGACTTTCCTACGCTTTTGCTACGACCTTGGTTTACTCACTGTACATTTATTATAGTTATGGGCAAGCAATGGCGGCAAATGACCGAGATGTGGAATCCGGGCCATCTATGAGCTCAGGATTTAGTGGAGTTGCGGCTGAAGCGACAGTTCCTGGCCACGATTTCTTTGCGGATGACGGGCCCTTTCTCGATCGACGATTACATTCGGAAGACATTATTAAAATGTGGAGTTTGGCAAAAGTCATAAAACGACTTGGCACCAAAGAAAAATGTGTTGAACTTGCTGAAGCCAAAGGCATGATTTACTCTTTTAAAACATGTCGCACGCACAGCACACCTATGCAATTGGCAAAATCAACCAACAAATCGTTTGGTTCTTGGTTTTGCACGAAAGGCCAATGTAAACAAAAAGGCAAAGTATCGAGGACGAGTGGAACATTTTTTGAAAATGTAAACATACATTTGGTACACTGGTTATATTTACCTTATTTATACTTTTGCTCACAAATGAAGCTATGAAATGACCATGAACGAGGATCCCTACAAAGAAGAGAGGGAGCAATGTTTAAGCAGAGCCACGATTTGCGATTGGTTAAGCTATTGTCGCGAATCAGTGGTTATATATCACCTAGACCAGGGGTCGGCAACCTTTTGAGTCGGAAGAGCCAAAAATAACAATTTACAAAATTTCAAAGTTTTTAAAGAGCCACAATTTTTTTTCTTGTCAACCATAAATAATACTTCCATAAATAAAGTTTCTTGATAAAAGAAACTAACAGCCTTTCACAAGTTTACTGCTGAACATAGGCTTCCCCCAAAGAATGCCACAAAGCACGGTCCTGAGCCACCTGCATCCATCGACTTCCTGCATGTCTTACCAGGTCATCACTCCATCTAGTGGGGGGGGGGGGGGGGGGTCGCCCTACACTTCGCCTACCGGTACGAGGCTGCCTCTCGAGAACCTTTCTTCCCGATCGGTTGTCGGTTCTTCGAGCTATATGGCCGGCCCACTGCCACTTCAGGTTACTAATCAATTGCGCTATGTTGGTTACTCTTGTTCTACTGCGGATATCCTCAATTCTAAGATTACCACCCAGGGAAACCCCAAGCATAGCCCTCTCCATAGCTCGTTGAGCGACCTTGAACTTCTTCATACGACCAGCAGTGAAGGACCACGTCTCAGATCCGTAAGTCATCACTGGCAACACGCACTAGTTGTACAATTTCGTTTTCAGGTTTTGAGGTATGTCCAGAAGATGTGTCGTAGTTTCCCGAACGCTTCCCAGCCGAGTTGAATCCGTCGATTGCCCTATCGGTCGAAGTTGGACTTACCTTGTCGGACTATTTGTCCCAAGTAAACATACTCGTCAACAACTTCGAACTTAGTGCTCCCAACAACCACCGGCATAGGTGTGACATGGACGTTAAACATTTTTTCATTTTTGTTTTTTCCATGTTCATCTTAAGACCTATTGAGGTCATTGAGCATAGTGCTTAGGTCCTCCAGCGATTCTGCTATAAGCACCATATCGTCGGCAAATCGAAGGTGAGTGATGTACTCGCCATTGATATTAATACCGTATCCATCCCAGTCCAGTAGCTTGAAAACGTCTTCCAGTGCAGCGGTGAAGAGTTTCGGGGATATAACGTCACCCTGTCTTACACCTCTCTGCAGTTGGATAGGTTTCGTACTCTGATTCTGTACTCGGATAGCCATCGTAGCTCTACTGTACAAACACTTCAGCATTTCGATATACCGACAGTCATCTTGGCACCGCTGAAGGGACTGTACCACCGCCCAAATTTAGACGGAATCAAAGGCTTTCTCATAGTCAACAACATACGCAAGGCAAAGTAGCAGATTATACCCATTGTCTTCTGTACAATTTTCCGAAGGGTATGTATGTTGTCTATGGTACTAAAGCCTTTTCGGAATCCGGCTTGTTCGGTAGGCTGAAAGTCGTCAAGTCTGCGTGCGATACGATTCGTAATGACTCGAAAACAGCACGTAGACGCGGCTCAGAAGGGAAGTCGATCTGTAGTTCTTCAAGACATCATTGTCGCCTTTCTTGAAGAACAAGTCCACCGCACTTCTGCTCCACGCCTCCGGAGTAGTGCCACCATGGAGGACGGAATTAAAGAGCTTCTGAAGGACTTCAAGTACCGCTTTTCCACCCGCTTTCAAAAGCTCCGCTGTAATTCCATCCTCACCAGGGGCTCTGCCATTTTTAAGGTGCTGGAGAGCCATTCTAGTCTCGCTCAGACTGATGTCTGGGATATCTTCGGAATAGTGTCGGATAAGGCTCGCTCTTGGATCGTCACTCACACTTACGTGTGGCTCCAACGATGACGTGTACAGCTGCCCATAGAACCTCTCAATCTCACTCAAAATATCAGGTGTCCCGGAAACGATGTTGCCACACTCGGTCTTCAGTTTTGACAGCTGTCTTTCTCTGGCAGAAAGATCTCTGGCAAAGACTTTGGAGTCTTGGTTCCGTTCGATTGTTTCTTAAATACAAGCTGTATTGAAGTTGCGTAAGTCCCGTCGCATGCATTTGGAGATTTGTCTGTTCAGTAGCCTGTATGCTGTCAAATCTTTTGAAGAATGTAGCTTCATCTCCCGTCTAACAGCCATGAGATTAAGAGTGTGATCGGAGAGTTTTAGTGTTCTTCTGCGGCGGGTCTTGCAGAACTTAGCTCCAACCGCATGGACAGTTTCCACGAGCTTGTTGTTGTATATATGAATAATAAACATAAATATAAAATAAATTTTATTTAATAAAATTTATTTATAGAATATTGATAAATTTGGCTCATAACTTGTTGTTTTAAGTTTCTAACACCACTCTGAATTTTCATTTGTTAGTTGGCTTGTTACTTTACTTATAATTATATTCATGCAAGAGAACGCTTGCTTGCACGAATATGTCGATCCGAAGATAGTCAGCACTCAAAATGCCAACTTTTTCACCTCACTGTAGCAAATCTGGAAGATTATTCCATGCGTTGAATATAAGTGCCTCAACTCGAGCCATTTCTTTTAAAGCTGTTCATTTTTGTTGCGTTATGTACATTCATTTCTGGACCTCCAACCCTTTCAAAATGATTTTCAACCCTTTAGATTTTTAACTCCACAAAGCTTTACTTTTTAAATCGATCAATTGCATTTCTAGAGAACCAGTATCAACTCCAAATGGCTCAGTGTGGATCGATTTTTAAATGTTTTTTTTTTTATAAAATAAATAATATTTGCGTATGAAACTAAAGAGCCGCAGCTTCACATCCAAAGAGCCGCATGTGGCTCGCGAGCCACAGGTTGCCGACCCCTGACCTAGACAAAACAAAGTACCTACATTAGAAAAATTGGAGGCCCAGGAAAAGTTGTGCAACTAGACGTGTCGAAATTTGGGAAACGGAAATATAACAAAAGTAATTTTGGTTTAATACAAGAGTATTAAACCAAAATTACCTTATTAATTGTATTGTAATTAATCAAATTGTGTTTGTTGTAGGACACCATATTGAGGGCCATTGGGTCCTTGGTATGATTGAAGATGAGTCTGAGGTTCTGCGACTAGAGGTGTGCCCTGACAATGTACGTTCTGCTGAGGTTTTGGTGCCCTTAATTCAAAAACTTATAGAAACGGGCATCACAATTCACACACTAACTACGTGGTAGAGCCATGCTGCAGCTATATTAGTAGTATAGTTGTAGCAAGAATGGGTCGGCTGGGAAGGACCACGCTCTCACAGAATACCAGCGTAAAATGGCAGTTTGACACTGCTGTGTTTCGTATGGTGAGTGTAGAGAATCGGAGACCCATTTTACTGGAAAAGACGCATTCCAACTCAGTCGTCACGGATGACGACGCATCTGAATTTTGATTCTTTATTGAGGATAAATATAGATGTCTATGGGTTACAGCAACCACTTAACATCAGGTGGACTATGTGCTCGTTTGTCACCATATTCTATAAAAAAAAACACAGATTATTGGTGAGCATATGACTGCCTAGCGGAATATGGGTACACCCACAAAAAAGTCAACCATTCGAATCATGACAATCCATTTGTGGCTCCAGGGACTCAAACACAAAGGATTGAGTCACAATGGAGAGACGTGAAACATTAAAAAAAAGATAATTACAATAATCTAGAGAATTTGGTGTTTGGAAAATGGTGTTTTATTTGGTGCAAGAGCGAGCGAAGCGAACTCGGGACTTGGACCCCGACTCTGACAGGTTAGGTTAGAAGGCGGGGTCTGTTCGCTCGCCTCGCTCGATCACTCGACCCTGCCATCCGCTTTGTCGTTATTTTTTTATAAGCCATCCAGAAATAGGATCATAGCCTGTGATTATACTGGCTCTCCATGCTCTTTACACCGGAACACTGCAGTGCACGTACACTATTATTTTACGGCCGAAATAGCACTTCTAGGTAGAAAAGAACTACCAATTTTGGATGAATTATAACAAGAAAAATAATAGAATGAGGCATTGTGTTATAGCTAGGTATCTATTTACACTATACACGAATCTAAAATTTTACTCAATACAATATAACCTATTCATTTAAAACTTTTTTTTCTATTTCCGTAATTTTCTGTCTGAGTGATATATTGTTTTTCATTTCGAAGTACGTCAGGATGGAGGAGGCGGCCAACTGTATCGCCACCATAGATGTCAGTGTTCCTGTGAATGGCTTTGTTTGTGTCCGCAAAAATTTTAATACAACCTTTGGCCCATCAGCAAGGTCTGGTACCCGGTAAGTGGAATATCTGTTGGCGAACTGAAACAAATAGAAATTATCATTACTTAAACAAATTAGATTTTTAATAAAAAGTAAACTTCAAGTACTAAAAGAAATAAAAATTAAGGCCCCGATTTCAGACGCTCTTTTATTATTCTTTAGTTTCTGAAGTCGTCTATTATTTTTTGAAAGTTTAACTTTGTTACTCTTGAGTGAAATTGGCAATACTACAAGCTTAAGGTAATAACTAAAATGCCATCTATTAATTAAAAAGGAATCTTAGAAAATGTTTCAGCAGTTTCCGAGAAATTAGTTGTTTAAAAAAATACCTAAATGAGTAGGTAGGTAATTTTTGTAAATCTCCTGAAGGTTCTCATGTGAAATGTTAGCGATATGTAATATCTATTGATTACAGCCTGTCAAGGTCCACTGCTCAACATAGGCCTCCCCACAGATTACCTCATAAGTGGGATATTTACCATAGCTGCCACACTTGGGAAGCGGGTAAGCAACCGCAGTTGTTTTATTTTTTAGTTTTTATTAGGAAGACGTTAACTACAACGAGGTGTTAGTTCTTACTAGGAAGATGTATTAAATTTTTTAATATCAGTTTCACCTCAATGAGGTGTACTTTGTTAAGCAATAAATTTAATTTCAATAAGTATTGTAATAATCTATAGTGAATTCTATTCTATCCTAACTAAAAACTTAATAAACAAGGTTCTGTCGATCGACAAATTGTCGCCGGAAATTCTAAATACCTACAATATAATAGACTGGTGACGAGTAGTAGCTTAACCAGCAACGGAGAACCGACACTGCGCTTACCGTATCATTTGTTCTGCATTCAGATGGCTAATAAAGTGTATTTGGAACCCAATTTCGATCAGTTTGATTTTCATAAGAGCTTGAAAATAAAAATAACTCTATGTTATATTTATAACAGCTTCTAGATAGCAACTTTTAAGGCAAAGAAGCGGAGCATTTTATGACAATTTCTGATCCCGATGAGGAATGAGTATATGCTACAGAAGGGCGAATTTACTTCTACAACTTTTGGCAGGCGACTTTAAGATTTTTTTATCTGGTATCTGGAGGCATACCAAACAGTTCTATTATCGAATCTATCGTCGGCATTACAAGACAACATGTGATGCTTTTTGCTGCCTAGGGAATTTTCTTGTTGGAATTATATATGATACAATTTTTTTTGATAATTCATAAAATTAGGCGTTACTTTACGGAAATTCAATTTTTACCAACTTTAATATTTATTTTTACACAACTGTTTTGTAAATTTGTTTAATACAATCACCTACCATTAATGCAGATGTTGGTCCAAGCACCATCGGATAAAAGCAACCCAATGCAATTTGAATCAAACCCGATCGTAACTCGTAACAAATTGGGCAAGATTCATTCTTCATCAGCAGCATATCTGTTGACACTAACTGCGGAAAAATAGAAACTGTTAATATATTAATTAATTATTATATTTTGATATTTATTGTCCATCAAGGCAAGGTTAAGAAAAGAAAATATACAAATATTCGGGAAAAATAAAACAGTCCTACTGCTTACTTAACAACTTCATTCAGACAACCCAAAAAATAATTATTTATTTAATTTTAAGAAACGTTAATGTTTCTTAGAATTAAATAGGTAGGTAGGCTGCACTGCAAAAATAATAACAGGTAGCAACTTATGCACTAAAAATACAACAGTCTACAGGAGAGATAAATAATGATGACTGAACTGATTATGATATATCCAAGAATGAATAATGTAAATTTTAAATTACTATTTGGTATTCCACTTTTTAGTAAACCAGCTCAATATTCATAGTAGTTGAAAGTTATGTCCATTAGTAAATGCAATCAGGAGTTATAATGATAATGTATGAACACACATTGGCGTTTTAAACCAAGTTTCAATAATTTAAAAAAAATTTGTCTATTGCAAGCTAAACAATACATACATGTCTATGAAACAGTGCGGTGAGAACCCCTGGCATTAATGATATAGGAATTACAGACGAAAAATATCCATATTTGCCAAGTTTTAGCTTTCGACGGTAGTAAGAATTTAATAACACGCCACTACAGCCATTAATTGCACCAAGTATAGCTGGTGTATATCGTAAGGCCCATCTGTAAATTAATAAAATATATTTGTACAAGGGACACGATGCCCAATATAAACTTTAGAGCTAAATACTTAGGTTGTTTGATATAACCATCATGCAATATAGTCATCAGTTGTCTCATGTTTAGGTGGGACAAAAATGAATGTGCCAACTGTTCAAACAAACAAATTTCAACAAATTATAGAAGGCGACTAATGGTATATTGGGTTTTTGTGTAGGCTAGCCATTTACTTCTTTTTAAAATTTTCCACTTAAACCCATTTTTTTGACTAAATGTGATCCAAGTATAGTTACCGGCACGAGTCGTGAGCACACTTTTTATTGGTCGATATGACCTTGACCACGCAGACGCTCAACGTGATTGGTTCGTCAGTCGATGCTCGTCGTCTATTGGGTTCGCATATATCATTAGGCTAGCGTACACTTGAGAACAATTTTAGTGACAACTTTGTAATTAGTTTATTTTTGTTAACTGTTTTTGTTACCTCTTGTTGTTAATTGTTTTGTTATTTCCTGTTTTTAATTGTTTTGTTATTTTTTGTTGTTAATAGTTTTCATTGTTATAATTTGAGCGTTCAGATTTTGATCTAAATATGCAGAGAAGAAAAATTCGGTGTTAAATAGACAATCCCGACAAATGGTCTCAGTGTTTTGTTAAATTATGGCTGAACACGGTCACGGTGTCTTAAGTTTACCTCCATACCATCCAGATATCATTCCATTTGAGATGACTTGGGCTGCCATAAAAGGTTATGTTGGCAGCAAAAGTGTGAACTGGAACGTTAGCAGCATAACAAACCTTATTAAGGAAAAAGTTCATTTAATGGGTGTTAGAGAGTGGGCAAAATTATACCATAAACTGAAAGATGTATATACTGAAGGAGTATATGAAAAATGACCACATCATTGACCAAATTACGGAGGAATTTATCATTCAAGTGGGCAATGATGACTCTGAGTCTAGTTCGGAGGATGAGGATGACGACGAAGATTATGGTGAATGAACTGGAAGATGAAGGGCCTCTACTAGCACCGCAAGTCCAGATTTTATGGAAAGCATATGACCTTACGCAACATGTCACCCAGGAGACAACACGCCACCTTGCGGTACACCGGCATTGATCGTACGCCAGTTGGAGAACGAGTCATCAACACGTGTTCGTTGCCGGCGATTAAACAAGTAACTGTGAAACCAGTCAATCACTTCAAGAGATATGTTAAGAGATGCTAAGATAGCTTACAGGAGATCAAAATCAACATTGTTAAATCCATTGCTAAAGTCAAGTAAGGTCAACACTGTTACGTGCTGTTTACCCATACCAAGACGGAAATCCTCAGTAATCTTGACTAAGACAGTAGTTGTACTATGACCAGCACGGAAACCGGATTGGAAAGGATTGAAAAGACTCCACCTAGATAAGTAGAGGCTCATTTGTCGATGTACGTTCAAAAACTTTTGAAAGGAATGGAATTATGGATATAGGGCGGTAGTCTGAAAAACTGGAGGGATTTGCTTTTTTGTGTATAGGAGTAATCTAAGCTTCTTTCCAGGAAGAGGGAAAATTTCCGGACGAAATAGAGTAATTAAAGATTGATTTTATAACAGGAGTCAAGATATCGATAATAGGTGATCATTTTACGACTAATGTGGTCTGTACCAATGGCGTTATAATTGATCTCAACAATGCTTTTCTTAACTTTACTATCAGTGATTTGTCTAAAAATAAAAGCAGGATTTACCATAGAGTGACGAACAATGGTCTTTGGTGCTGTTCACGGATGAGTCCCGGTTTGGGTTTCATCCGGATTCACGAAGAACACGCGTTTGGAGAAACCACTCGTATCATAATAACAGAAAAAGTCAAAGGGTTGTTACACGAGTCTCCATGACACATTGAGCTATTATGTACTACATACCGTACTAGAGGCGGCACTACCTTTAGTTACACGGTCCCATTCAATTGCGGCGATCTCGCCGACCTTTACTCAGTCACTCGCTAGACGCTAGTGAGTTGACACGTGCTGTGTTTATTACATAAACAAAATTCTTGATAAAATAAATATGCCATGGTGTTTTAGACATTCCACAAATAATTCAAGAAAAATTAGCAAATACCAAGGAATAACTTTTCATCAATGAATAAGGTACTTAATTAACAAAAAAGTATTAAAGATTAATAGTTACACAAATTATTCCTAAGATGCCATCTCGTGTTATGGAATATAGATTATGAAATTAATCTGTTCAGATGCGATGTTTCTGTGGGTAAGTGTAGGACGATTATATTATGCACAATTTTTTTTTGTAGAAACAAAAAAAATATCCATAAAATGTAATTGTGGTATAATATTATATTAAATTAGCACATATTATTTAAAGATTGTACTCAATATAATTTACATAATTAACAATACAGTCTATCAATCCATTATTACATACCTACTGATCTTTCTACCTATGGTCGCTATGTACAGGACTAAACATCTCGGCACGTCGAGATTACTCCCCGAAATTGCATGCAACATCAAAGGACTGTTGAGCTTCTTCGGGGAGATATCATGGCTTGAATAAGCATATTATTCTTGCCCACACGCAAAATACACGCATAGAGGTGGAGTTGCGGAAAACAGCCCATCGTACAGTAAACTAAACTATAATACATGATCAAACGAACTTCTAAGTGAAGTTCGATCAGTATTATATGAGTCACTTTATTCGAAGATATAGATGTTATATATATGTATTTTATATACATATATAAGTTTAACAGGTAGTCCTTTCATTGTTCGGGCAATAACTCGCACGCTTTTTCAGATTCTTAAATATCGATTAGAAAATCGATTTTAACTGTCGATTACTTCCTATCCCTTCCCTACTTTGTTCCCGTGATCTTGCTTCATTTTTCAGATTATTTGTCAGTAAATATACTCTTGATTCGGCAAAACCCTCTCGGGCTGGGACGGGTGGGAACTTTATCTATATCTTCGAATAAAGTGACTCATATAATACTGATCGAACTTCACTTAGAAGTTCGTTTGATCATGTATTATTATTTCGTCACATTATTCGAAGATATAGATGTTATATATATGTATTTTATATACATATATAAGTTTAACAGGTAGATGTTTAGAGATTAGTTTTGCCGAAACATATTCTACATTAAAGGTAAAATGAGACCAAATGTTATCAACCAATTTAGATTTAATAACAAAAAACATAATTAGTTTACAACTTCTCAGAAAATTTATAATATGATAATTTTACATTGTGAAATTAATCTTTAATACACACTGCTCTTGCGAATTCATTATTGTCTATTACTTGTCGATTGTAAAACCTAGCAAATATAATAGACGTTGATGTCCAACCCGCGGTTCTTCGGATTACATCGAGTGAGACTCCTGCGCTTCTAGCCGCGGATGTGGCAGCGTGTCTCGTACTGTGAGCGCTGAACGTCGCCACATCCACTCCGCTTTCCGTTAGGACTTGTTTAACCCATCGCGCGATCGTCTGACTCGTAGCCGCTCGGTATGGACGTTTTAACGTTAGTAATAAATTATCCACCTTACTAGTTCTCAACTGTTCCGTTCGGGAAATGTAGTCTTTGATAGCAGTTGCTGGGCATATGTCTACATTTTCCTTAAAATAGGGAAGCACCAGCAATGGTTGTTCACGCCCCGCAGCAGAAGTTTTTACTAAATCGTAAATGGCAATTTTAATATCACTGGGACTTATTTTAATATTCTTAATTTTTATCAAGGATAATGTTTGCGCCCTATGGGCCGTACATAAAGCCAAGAGAATAGTAGTTTTTTTTGTTAATTTTTCAATAGACACCTGGTCATGAGGTTTCCATTGTGCTATGTAATTAAGTACTACCTGCGGATCCCATGTACTAATATATTTCGGAAACGATGGTCTTAGTTTGTATACTCCCTTAAAAAATCTTTTTAATAAGTTATTATTACTAACGTCAATATTTAATAATAAAGCTAAAGCAGACCTGTGGCTATTGAGTGAGCCATATGTCGCACCCTGATTAAAAAGATCTGTAAGAAATGATAGAACTATTGATTCCGCACAAGTATTGTAAGGATTTAAATTTAAGTCATTGCAATATTTCCACCACAATTTATAAGTACAACCATACTGTTGTAAGGTGTTTTGCGCCAATGAAGACAACATTATATCTAAGCCTGCTTCAGGAGTTCCTTTTCTTAGGAAAGCGTCCCGGATAGCCTCGCGACTCCCAGGGAAAGTTGGAACTGTTTCCTTTTCCTGCAAGAAAAGTTTGAGAGGCTTTAGTTAGCGTCTAAATAAATAATTTCGGAGCTACACATAGCTCTTAAAACCGGGAACCACGGTTGAGAGGGCCAGTAAGGAAATACTAGGATGCCTTCTGCCCTATCTGTCTTGATCTTTCGAAGGCACTTCAAAATTAATGTAAATGGTGGGAAAGCATAAAAGAAGTATGGTGTCCAACTTATGGTGAAAGCATCTACTGTAAAAGAATCGGGATCTGGTTTCCACGATGTATACATTTTACATTTGGCATTGGCGCGAGAAGCGAAGAGATCTATGTCTGGTTTTCCTAAAATGTCGGTAATATTCTGAAATGTAGTCTTAGATATTTCTAATTCCGTGTCAGCATTTTTGTTGCGAGATTCTTGATCAGCTTCTTTATTATCTTTTGAGTTTATGTATGATGTATACAGCCATATTCTTCGCTGCTCACACCATTGCCAAATATCTCTTGTGATTTTGTTTAAGTGGGGATATTTTATTCCTCCCATTCGATTTATGTAACTTATTGCGGTAGTATTGTCACATCGCAATAATATTGCACAGTTACATTCATCGCGAGCAAATATTTTTAAACCAAGGAACGCTGCTTTGAGTTCTAAATAATTAATATGAAACTCAAGTTCTTCCGTTTTCCATTTACCCCCAGTGCGTACATTATTACAGAAGGCACCCCAGCCCTGTTTTGATGCATCAGA